AAACAGACTAAAGAATATCTGCATTATGTCACAGATTTCCTTTTAATTTTCCCTCAACCGCCTCCCCCTGCAAAGAGAGAGAATTGCTAGAGGACTTAAAGTTTAATGTAACCCACCAAACAATGCCCACTGAAAATATTTTCCAATCTGGTGGGAGTCAAGAACATTTGCTCAGGCCCTTACCAGAATAACACAAACTACAGGATTAGAACATTACTGATATGTAGGGTCAGATAATTCTTTGTTGTGTGTGGGGGGTAGGATGGAGTAGGACATGTCCTGTGCATCCTAGGATATTTAGCAATAGCACCGCACCCTCAGTTGTGACAATGAAAAATGTCTTCGGACACTGCCAAATGTTCCTTAGAGGGCAAAACTGCCCCTATTTTAGTACCATTGGTTTAGATGTTAGGGCCCTGGGTCTTTGAAAAAGGAGGTCTCCAACCAGCCCTGTATAATTTTTAAAAATTAATTTTGTTTTTAAAATTTGGATTTTTAAAAATAAGGTGGTAATAGTACAAGAAGATAGCTAAATAATATATATGCCATCCTCCTTTAGGTTAAAGCATTTTAGAGGATTTTGTAACATGAATCGCATCTACTGTCACCTCTTCCCCTCCATCCCAAAGTTGGGGAATGTCCAGTTCTCTCCCTACTCTGCTAGTAAAATGTCAAATACTTACATACATATATACATACATACTTATATATACATAGGATCTAAACAGTTCTAACTTGCAAATCCCCATTTCTTGCCTTACATTGTCTCATTGTGGTTCTTGAGCCATGCATTCTAGAGATTCAACCTTCCACTCTTCAGATTTCCTCATCTGGTTCCTGCCATCTATTTGCGAAGCAAGCAGGAAGTAAGCTGATGACCTTTAAGATCTTTTCCAGCCCTAATATCCAATGGCAAAAATACTCCTTCAACTTTTACTTACTGACTCCCAGCTGACTAAACCACCTCCTGAGATCACTTAAGTCATTAATCCTAACTTTTTTCTTTCTCCACTCTTTATAGCAATCCATGAGGAATACAACCAAACAGTATATCAACTGTTTAAAACATCACTTATTAATACCAGTGATCAGCTGATTATTTCCTGTCCAGAACTATTTTAAACATGGAAATTAATCTTAAAAGAAAAACTTTTCAGGGAGCTGATACTATTTATGAGTGAACCACAATTCACTCATTGAGATGGAAAGTATATTAGTGGTTGCCTAGGTCTGGGGCTGGGGTGGGGAGTATGGGGAGTTTCTTTTTGGGGTGATGAAAATATTCTAAAATTAGATTATGGTGATGGTTACACAATTATGTAAATATACTAAAAATGGATGAATTTAACACTTTAAATAAGTGTACTTTTACTCAATAAAGTATGTAAAAAGCTAAAAGCAGGAAAAGAATTTTAATCAACTTTTACTGATAGGAAAGGAATGTGATTAAGAGCAAATTCTGCAGTTTGCCATTTCAAGTGTTATGTAAGATTTGATTTTAATTCTGACATAAAAACTTAATACCTATTCAGAAATAAACCTTAACTTTTCCAGAAAACAAACATATGCAAATTTAATCATCTTTTCTTAGTAACTTTGGATCATTTAAAAGCAACGGAAAACACTTCAGAAAGCCCAGTGTTAGAGTAACAATACCTCTCCAAGACCAAAATATATTAATATCATCAACAACAAGAAAATGTGAACAGTCTTTATAGTTTGGAATGCATTCTTTATAAAGAAAACCATAAAACATTTATTTCTTTTAAAAGTGACCCTCAGATTGTAATGTCTGTCCTGATAGTGCAATAATTCTGAAATTAACAAGCATAATTTTAAAACAGCCAAATCACAATAAAATCTCAAACATCTAATCCCTCAAACCACAACTATCAGTCGCCCAAAATTTGTACGCATTGATCATTTTTACCAAAACCTATCATTAGCAATGATGACCACTATGAACAATCAAGTAATACCTATTTCTAGGAAATCAGACTCTGACTGCAATACAAATACAGTCAAACAAACAAATCCCATCATTCCATCTGTTCTATCACAACTGCTTAGAAGTCATTAAGGCTCTGAAGGTACTTTTCCAACTAGAACACTTCATCAGATATAAAAGTCAACCTGACTGTCCATCAAAATCTGCAGTTTAAGTTACCACAGTAACACATATCTCAGTATACTATCATGACATCACTTGCCTTGTAAGCATTTACTCTTAAGATTGCCCTGGGGTTTGACAAATCAGATATAGAACCAATTAAAAGCAAAACACAAAAACATTCCAATTCAATTCTTCGAAAGTAAGGAGAGCCCCAATAAAGACCAAAATAAAGCTGGTGAAAGGGGAACTTTAAAAAAAAATTGCAACCCGGGTCAACCAAAATTCTAAAAATACCATCCCGAACTCAGTACACGGACAGACCAAGTGTTAATTATAATGGGCAGGCAAAAGTTCCCTTGTCAACGACAGGAGGGCAGGGAAGGCCTGCCTTTGTACCAATGCAGAGATGGAAAGACACATAATTGAAGAAAAATTAATTATTGAACAAATGCTTGCGAGCTAAATTGCCAAACTGCAAAACACCGAGTTATTTTCTGGGCTGGCTTTCGCCAGGGGGAAAAAATGACTTTTTAAATTTAAATTATTCCAGTAGTATCAAAAAGGGGTAAGGGCCCGGCTAGAAAAAGAAAGGTAAAGTTTGGGGGCAGCGTCTAAGGCGGGTGGTGGCGGTTCCACAGCCCGGATCCCCGAGAGGGGAGAGAGGGGCGAGAACGGCGTAGCGGCCGCGGGCTGGAAGCGAGAAGCACAGTTGCCGGCCCCGATCCCGGAGGGAGAGTAAGAAGGAAGAGGAGGTGGTGGTGGCCGGGAGGAATGGAAGCTTCGGCGCTGGTCAGTTGTGACCGAAACTCTGCCGGCTCCGGCAGGGGAGGAGACATAGGGGGTGGGGTCTCGGTCCTCCCTCTACAGGAGGTCGGGGTGAGGGTGGGCCGCGAAGCGCTGGGGGCCGCGTGCGGCCGGCCCGACACCTACCTGCGGGTCCCGGGCAGCAGCCCCAGAGCGAGGCCTAGTGCATCGCCGCCGCCTCCAACCCTCCACGTCGCGCCGAGGCTGCTGCTCCGCGGCCGCCGCCGCCCGGAGCCCGGCTGGGCCCGAGCCCGGCTTCCCGCCCCCGCCCCGCGCCGGCTGGCTAGTCGGCTGGGGGAGCACAGGGCCGCCCTCTCGAGCCCAGCTCCGCTCGGGGGTGAGAGGCGGCAGCGGCAGCTCCCTCACGTCTCTCCCGGGTGTCCTGTCAGCCAGCAGTTTCCCCCGGGTCCGCAGCGCCGCCTCCACCGCTCCTGCCACCGCCTCTCCCACATCCCCGGCCTCCAGAGGAGCCGCCGCCGCCGCCGCCGCCGCCGCCGCCGCGCCGCGACCACTACCCTAGCGCTTCTGCTCCTTGCTCCACTGGTTCCCCTCACTCCGCCCGCCTGCCTCGGCCCGGCTAGGTCCGGGGAGACAGTGTCCGAGGCCGCAGTGAGGCCGCCGCAGCCCCCAGCCCACAATCCACCGCGCGGCTCCGCCGGGGCGGGAGGCCGCGGCCCGGACCGGGGGTAGCTCTCGCCGCCTCAGGAGAAGGCCGGGGCCGGCGCTGGCGCCGCCGGCGTTCCCCCGGAGCGGGGAATACCCCGCGCGGCTGCTCGGCGCCTCCTCTAATCTATTCTAATAGTCCTCCAGGCAAAGAGAGAAACCCACGCTGAACTCGACTTTTCCCCACGACCCTTCCCCCACCCCGAGGTGCTCTCGGCGGCAGCCAGGTGCCGTCTGCCGCCTTCCGAGGGACGGTCCGCGAACCCTCAGGGTGGCCTTCGCCCACCCCCCAGACCAACTGACTCCAAGCATCTCTCAACCACCCAGCGCCTATTAAAGAAGATACTTCCACAACATTCCACCTCTCCTTTCACCCCCTTCAAAGTGAAGGCTGCTCAGAATTTCCCAGTTAAGCGTCCTTTTAAAGGTTTAAGGTGACCTCTCCCCAACAATCCACTGGACTCTGGAAACTGCATTGTCTCTCTCTCGAGGCCTTCCCTCACCAAGTTCTTCTAAGTTTTCCCCTAGTTCCAGGCCTTCCTTCCAGGCACCTATCAAACTTCTCTGGCACTGAAATCAGTTATTCCTGCTATTTGACTGAGATGCTTGAAGTGTGTGTATATTATTAATACCTCCTCCCTGTGATTCTCAACGGTAATCCAATTTAGCCGGGTTTCAGAGGGCTGGTGATCTTAATCCAATAAAATACAATCCACAAGAAAGGGAATGTCTTAGGATATTTTTTAAAAGAGAGGAAAGGGCCATTTGAGTGCTTACGTCTTAATTTTAGGAAGATTTCTTTCAATTTTGAAATTATTTCTTTGCCTAAAAATATCAAAGTTTCAGGCATTTATAAGACACTTAACAAATCAAAAGTGAAAACATAAGTCTTACCTTTGGGGATTGAAAAAAATGATTCAAATTTCACTTCTAAGAAGTCACTTTGAAAACTGCAAACATAACTCTTTGTGAAATAATAATTTACACACTAAGGAGCTAAAGTTGGGGGAAGGGAAGGACAAAAGAGAAGGAAGCAACAAAAATAGCTGAGAGGAAATTCTTACAGTATGTTTTTCAAATTCAATTCTCTACAGTTTTGTAATAAGGAGAATGAGAATATCAATCTCCAATATGAACTAAATTTAACTTTAAAATAAGAAATCCTCCTAAATCCCCAATCTCATATAAAACCAGATGAGTTTACATTATGAACATATCAAGGAAAGACTCACCAAATTTCATCAAAGGCCAGAAAGGAGAATAATTCACTTTAAATCTGGAATCAGTTCACAGATTATACTAAGAAATATAGCAGGTTCCTATATTTTGGAACATCAGGAAATCAACAATAGTTCAAAAGCTGCCTTAAAACTGGCAGTTTGGCCTTTTAAAAAATATTTGCATTTATATTATACCCCACCTTGTTTCAAAAAGATTCCAAGTTGCTGTAGTTGGCACTTGGGTTAGACAATAGCCACGAAGTATCTCCCAGACACTAGAAGAAGACAGACTGGTTTGCTTTCCTCATCCATCTGTAGATAACATACCATAGGAAGAAAATACACACTGAGTATTGCACTTGGTTCTTTCAGGGATCCAGCATGATTTTATTTTTACTTTTCCACAGAACAGTTCATAATCATGAATCTAAATGTAAAAGTAAATGGTAATGATCAGGTTTGCCAAAAATAAAACAAAACAAAAAACTGTTAACTGGACAAGTAATTTAATTTAGAAGTAGATAAATTTCAAATTAATTAATATGTTCACTTGTTATCCCTTGAATCATTTCAGTATTAAAAAGAAAAGCCAATGGTGGTGTGATGAATTGGGCGATTGGGATTGACATGTATACACTGATGTGTATAAAACTGATGACTAATAAGAACCTGCTGTATAAAAAATAAAGTTAAAAAAAATGATGGAATACTGAAAACTTGTATATTACTCCCAACAATCACTGAGTGTATTATTATCACGTGAAATATTATAACATTTCTAGTGTTAGAAGATGTTTGCATCTTCTAAATCAGCTGCTTGATTACTTTGGAAACAATTATTTAACTCTGTTAGATTGCCCTGTTACATTTCTCTTTGACACTGATATTCCACATTTTCATTTGATTACCATAATAGCAACTACCATTTACTAATAATTTACTGTGCTCCAAGATAGGGAAAACCAAGGTAGCATGGTGTATTAGTTTTCTATTGCTATGTACAAATTATCAAAACTTAGTAGTTTAAAATAACACATATTTATGATGTTATAATTTTGTGAGTCAGGAGTCTTGGCACAGTTTAGCTTGGTCTTCTGCTCAGGATCTCATAAGGCTGCAATCAAAACATCAGTTATGCTGTCTTCTCATTTGGAGGCTTGACTGGGGAAGAATTTGCTTCCAAAGTCATTCATGTTGTTAGCAGAATTCCCTTTCTTGTGATTGTAGGACTGAGAACCCTAGCTTCTTGCTGTCTGGGGGCTGCCCTCAGCTCCTAGAGGCCTCCTGCAGTTCCTTGCCATATAGGTTTTCTCACTATGGCTGCATATTTCATCAAACCAGCAAGGCGTGTCTCTAAACTCTCTAAAGTGAGTCATCTAGCAATACAGAATGATATTCCATCTTCATGTTCTATGGTTTAGAAGCAAGTCACAAATTTTGCTCACACTTAAGAAGAAGGAATTACACAAAGTTTTGAACACCAGGAAGTGGGAATCATGGGGGCTACCCTAGAGTCTGTCTACCACCTGCAATGATTAATTCCACAGGCTTTGGAATTCAGCTAATTTTGGGTTTTTCAACCTGCTTTGACACTTTAACTCTGTGATTTTGATCCCAATTTCTAATCCTTTGTTTCTTCATCTGTCAAATAGGAGTAATATCCCCTTCACAGTTTATTTTTCTCCAATGTAAAGTGAGGGTAATGATAAAGTTGTTGTAAGGATTAAATGAGCATTTTAGCACAGTAACTGATAATATAAGAGGCTCAATAAACACTTGTTAGTTTTCTTCCTTTTCCCTCCTCTTTTTTTTTGTTTTGTTTTGTTTTGTTTTGTTTGCAGTACGCAGGCCTCTCACTGTTGTGGCCTCTCCCGTTGCGGAGCACAGGCTCTGGACGCACAGGCTCAGCGGCCGTGGCTCACGGGCCCAGCTGCTCCAAGGCATGTGGGATCTTCCGGGACCGGGGCACGAACCCGTGTCCCCTGCCTCGGCAGGCGGACTCTCAACCACTGCGCCACCAGGGAAGCCCCCTCCTCTCTTTTTTATTTTGATCTTGGTCTCCTAGAAGTCCCCACTGACATTTCTACTTTCAATGGCTACTTTGGTAGCCTGCGTGCAGAGTACACATATGTGTGTACCTGTGTCTAGGGCCATGCAAACCCAACTCTACTATCAATACCTTTAAAAATAGGACTGTATTGCAAATGTTATCTCTAACTTCAACTAGGAAAATTAAAAACTGATAAACCCATAACATTAGAAGGATAATTATTAAACATAGAGGCTTTGAAAGTTTAGAGAAGTTTGTTGGGATTGACATTTTTTACTCCCTCAGAATCATGTTTAATATGCATATGGTACAAAAGACATGTTATTGCATAGTAGTCTTCATGGACTCTGGGTTTGCATCCTAGACCTGCCACTTTCTAGCTGAGTAACCTCAGGCATGTTCAGCTCTCTAAAGCTCAGTTCCTTGTAGGAATAATGATAGCACCCACTTCACAGACCTTCTATAAGGATTACATTTAAAGTATACTTAAATAGCATCACTTACTGCCTAGCTCATAGTCAGTACTTTAAAATGTTAGATATCATACTCATTATTATAATCTTTACTATCTCGTTATTATTAGGAAAGCTGTGTTAATGAAAAGTACAGAACAGGAAGCAGCAAGACATGGCTATGAATGAGGTGGGTGAAGTGAGGCATGAGAAGTCACAAAATCTCAAAAGTTCTCGTAAACCAAAGGGCTGCAAGTAAGATAAATGGTCAGAAGTATGAAAATTTGCAAGTCAGAAGTTGGACAAGTAGGAATTAGGGGCCAAGGTAAAATTGTGAATTCTCAACCAAACTGTGAGTAATGCAACCTAAGACATCAGCAAGAGAAGGTCACATAAAACAGGTGATTCCTACCTCAGACATGAAGTCTTTTATATAGTTCCTCCTGGAGCAGGAGTCAACCATATAGCATATCTAGTTGCATTTGGAACAGGAAACACTGAGTCCTGTCACTATTGGAAAATAGTGAATAAATTGTTGAATAGATTAGGAGAGTACAGCAATCAGAAATATGGGCATATCCTGACAAATGTAAAATTATTTTCAAATTGGACCGTTTCCCTAGAGAAGTAGTTATACCATTTAATCGGTCCCATTATCATATTTTTTCTTATGTCACTTTTTACAGTATTGGTTCTTTTATCTATGGAGGCTTTGTCTAACAAACTAAGTTATAAGTATTTCCAGGACAGGATTTTCTGTTGTTGCTGCTATTGTACTTTTTAAAATATCCTACAGAATCTGGAACAATGTACTACATAGTAGACTTTCAATAAATGCTTGTTGAATTAAAAAATAAATATGAATTACTCCCACTTAGTAAATGGTATTTGGTATAATGAATAGTAATAATTCATGAAATTAATGGATGACCTTGAAATCATACTTGACTCTTTCATATTCCACATCTACCATGTCAGAAAATCCTATTAGTTCTACCTATTAGTTCTAGATATACCTTCAAAGTATATCTTGACTAAACACTTCTCACCACTCACATTGCATCCACCCTGGTCCAAGCCATCTTGCCTACAGAGCTGCTAACTACAGCTGCTGGGCTATACACTGCTCATTATGGGAAGCACCATTCTCAGACACTGCAGGGTGAATGATGCTTCTTGGAGTTGTATAGTGCAATGATCCTACTTGCCTGGATTACTGCAAAAGTCTCCTAGCCTTTGTCCCCCACCAGCTTATTCTCAACCCAATAATCAGCTTGATCTTGATGAAACTTAAGTCAGGTCATGTCATATCATTCCTCTGCTTAGAACACTCCAGTGGCTCTATCTCATTCACAGTAGAAGATAAAGTCCTGGCAAGGCCCTAGTTGATCTCATCCCACTCTTACCTCTCTATCTTTATCTCCTCCTAGTCCCCCCATTTCTCACTGCTGTAGTCATATTGGGCTCCTCACTGTTCCTAAATCCAGGCATGCTCCTGCCTCAGAGTATTTGCACTTGCTCTTCCCTCTGCCTGGAATGCTTTTCCCCCACATATCCTAATGGCTAACTCCTTCACCTTCTTCAGGTCTTTATTCAGATATTACCTTCTCAGTGAGACATTCCATGACACCCATATTTCTCATTGTAACACCATGTCCTATGTGTTTTTCCACTTTATTTTTCTCCTTAGACTTTATTATCACCTAAGCCCCCATATGTTTTACTTGTTATCTGTCTTTCCCCCACAGGAATGTAAGCTTCATGAGGACAGAGAGTTTTGTCTGTTTTGTTTACCACTTTACCCAGCCAGTACCTGGAACAATGCCTGGTGTGAGCTGAGAGCTCAGTAAATACTTGCTGAATAATGAATGAAAGATAAAGACAAACTAGTGCGTATAAACATAAACCACTTTCTTCCACACATTAAGCAGAATGAGTAACCAATTAGTCTAATGTTTTTTCAAGACTTGCCACTGATATGTTATAGGGCTCAAGATTTTTGTTAAGTCACTATTAATTTATTAGATAATGATAGTCTTGGCTTATTTTACAATTGGAGTATTTTAAGTAATAACTATATGGAATTATTTTTTAAGTATGCTATTCTATAATGAAAAGACAATGGTTAAACATCTATTAGAAAAAAAACTTTTTTCATTTAAAACTTCTCTAGGTTAAGGAGAAATTTCATTTAAACTTTTCTAGGAAAATTATGGGCAATTTAGAAACCATATATTTTCAGAGAAACAGAAGCCATGGTTGGCCTCTCAGGGATTTTCCTCAAGAACCACCCTCTACATCAACTGGGTACGTGACTCAACACCAACATCACACAGAAAGAACCCCCTAAGCAGCAGGAATACAAATTCTTATACCGCTATGTAATATTTTTAAATAGAGAAAAAAATAAAACAGGAAATATTTTAGAAGCAAAATAAACAGAGACAAAAACAACAACAACAACAAACAGTGGTATCATGGAAACAGGACAATTTCACAACATAATCCAGAGTAAAAGATTAGTATAACAATGGATTGCAATTATATAATGGACTTTCGTTGGATACCAAAATGCATCAGAAAGGCCATTTAATTCTCATGCCACTGTCTGGTCATTTTGATTCCGATTCTACCAGGAAGTAAAATATCTGTGTTTTCTTGCCCTATTCTCTTTACTTCTGTGAATTCCTGAGCATTAATAAAAACAAGTTCTCAGTCAGAATTTGATTTCAATCTAGAAGTCTTATTTCTGAAAATCTAGCCTTAGATTTAAAACAGTATTTTCTCCTTCCATACTATTATTTATTAAC